CTCATTCTCCGTAATGTTTTGCGACAATGCTAATGGTGAATTGCTACCACCTTATGTTGTTTACAAAGCTGAGTCGTTATAGAATACATGGATGGAACATGGGCGACCAAAAGCACGTTATAACAGATCGAAAAGTGGTCGGTTTGACTCAACATGTTTTGAGGACTGGTTTTTCTTTTTACTTCTTCCAATATTTAAGAAGGCTCAATGAAGAAGTGTCAATATAAGTGATAAAGTATCTTCACATTTGAACATTGCAGTACTGGATGCATGTCAAAGCAATAACATAGGATTTGTGGCATTACTAGCAAACTCTACACACCTCACGCAGCGATTAGGTATTGCCTACTTTAGACCTATGAAGATTAACTGGCGTAAAATATTATGTAAATGGAAGGAGAAAGGAAAAGGAAGGAGAGTTGCATTTTTTCATTGGACAAGTCTCAAGTGCTTTCACGACTACCATGTTGAAATGTAGGTTTAGACTCAACTACTGATTTAGTAAGCTAATCATTTTTAGATCATTTATATAAGTCACTGGATGATTCCTCAGATTGTTCTAAAAAACCATAGCGACGTAAAGTATGTGCTGTCCCAGGTAAAAGCTTATGTTTAACAGATATATCATCGTGTGTTATAAATGAAAATAATAGATTAAATTCAAATAATGTAGATACACCTATTAGTATTATAAATACAATTGAGACCAACAACATTGATTTTGCTGGCCCAAGTACAAATACTGGAACTACTGAGACTTCTAATCTAATTTTTGCAGATGTAGTTTAGTTGTAGAAATTCATACAAAATCTTTAGATCGTTTAGCATTAGGCAAAAGGAACTTTCAAAATATTGATAAAACAAAAAATGTTTGTAAAAAAGAGAAATTTTTAAATCTTGTCGAGAATTGTTATGTAATTGTTAAATGCAATGGAGAGTTTAATGGTTTGTTCATTTATTTTGAGTTATTTATATTTAGCAAACTAATTAGTAAAATTAAGAATAAATGGAGCAGAAATTACTATTATGAAAAAAAAAATGGACTTAACTGGAAATGGTCACTACCAGTAGAGCAACTTTTTTTCCACCAGTCTGAAATAGTCAATTTTATTGAGGAACCAAAGAATATTTCGAAATAAGGAATTTATTCAGTTCCAGAACTTTTTTACTAAATTTTTTGAAACATTATTTTTGTCATTTTTGTTCACTTTATACCTAAACTGTTTTGCTTACTTCGTACCTATACTTGTTTAGTTTGTACCTATATTTTATTTACTGTATACAAGAACTTTGTTACTAAATTTTTTTTTGTCACTTTATTTTTTAAATTTATTTTCTTTGCCTAAATATTGCGGTTTTTATTGTTGTTTTGTTTCCTTTAGTTCCTTTTCACAGGGTTGGGCCAAAGTCACCCTAACACATAGGGCGACTTTGGCCCACCATTTAAACCACCCAAAAGATACTTCAAGTAAATAATTTTCAAATGGGAGACAGATAGTTCTAACTGTCCTTTCTATGCACTTCTAAATGTACTTAGTGTTTGAGGAAATAACTTTTGTGGCATTCATACAATAGACATTAAGATGCAAAATGGCCAAAGCCACCCAATCTTACGATACTTAAGTAAAAGTAAGAGTACCCATTTAAAAAAATACTCAAAAAGTAGAAATTCTTAAAATAACTACTCAATTACAGTAACGCGAGTGATTGTACTTCGTTACTTTCCACCTCTGGTTATCAGTTGTTATAACTTTTTCAAAAAGACTCGCTTTATTAACTACATTTCAATTTATTACATATAAAATTGATCTAAATTTAAAGTATCAATAAGGGTCAAGTTCTCGCAAGCAGTATGTATATGTATATATATATATATATATATATATATATATATATATATATATATATATATATATATATATATATATATATATATATATACATGTATATATATCCTCCCCCCTCCTAACCTGAAACACTGGGGGGCGGACAATGCATTTCGCCCTTTTATTTCCAAAACAGTTTTTAAACTTTTATGATAGCAACAGCTAAATTATAATTTTCAAGTCTGCAATGACTCTATCACAATTAAACATCACCATGGAAAAGTATATCCATAAAACTGTTAAAGACACTATCGCATACTATTTTTTAAATGAATGTTTGCTGGCAAAGGATGACTAATCACTTTAAAAAGATGATTAATCATGTTGCGTGTGGTAATTAATGGGATAAGTTGATCATTTTCATCTATTTTGCTGTATCGAACAAAATTGAGGAATTGTTTTCTTTTTAATTTATGTTTTCAGCCCCCCAACCCAACTTTTGCCACCTTCCTACGCCACTGATTGTGGACACGGGTAAAATGCGAAAATTTTTAATGAGTAAAATGCGGGAAAAAAGTGCTTCAAATTTCTCTTATCCCTTAGCTTATCGCTGTCCCAACCAAAACACTTAGTCAATGATAGTAGATTTAATATTCTTAGTCTTTTGCAGTATTAAAAATGTCTCATTCTAGAAGTTTATTTTGTTGCTTCGCGTTGAATAGATTCAACCATGGTTCAATCAGTTTTTATATAAGAAGCCCAAAAAGACACTGTTTATATATGGTGTGGTCTTATAAGCATTTTATATTACTTGAGAGCCATACTTTAATCAATAAAAGTGAATTTCGTTTTGCATACCAAGAATTTATACGCCCATCAAAGGATTTTGAGAACTGTTAAAAAATGTGTGCTCCACTTAGCGTTACATGAAATAATGACTTCTAAATCACGCATTTAAGTAGAGCATTTTAGGGATTGATTTATTGTATCTTTTTATTTTGATTCTCATTTATTCAGAAATACCTTACTTTTAACAAAATAGTCTGTTTTGAGGTAGAAAATAAACGCTTTGGCGAAGTCAAGATTACATTAACAAACTGGTGAAATATTATAGAAGATAAAATCCCGCTTGATTTATGGTGAAAGAAACTTGTTTATTGATGAGAGCATTTTATTATTGTTAATGTGCCTAAAGATTTTGTTCTTAACAAGTATTTTGACTATTTTGCAAGCAACAGAGTTTAGTAAAATAGGTCAATAGTTTACAGCAAGTAATTTATCGTCCGTTTTTTTATAGACCGAATAAAATTTTGCTAATTTGAAGTATTTATAAAAGATTTTTGTCAATGGAAAAAACATTTATAAGGGCTTAGATTGGTAGGTTAATGATGTCTGAAATAGAAAAACCCAAGTTGTTCCTTTGAATAACTTTCATTTTAATGATGGAAGTTATTCAAAGGAATATTAAATATTTCAGTTTTTGCGGAACGATTAAGAAGACAGCAGTTTCTCATTCTTCCATTTAGTTGAGCCGTGAATATACTTAGCGGATTTTTTTGCTCGGATTACGCTTTTAACTCGTAGAGTAACCCAAGGATCATACTTTTTATTTGTTTAATTAACCTTGGGGATAAAATATTTTCAAAATGCACAATGGTTAGAAATTAATAAATAAAACATTTGATCCGCGGTCTTATGCAGAAATAAAATATTCCAGTTATTTGATGCAACAAAGTTTGATATTAAATCGTAATCACCTTGGCAGTAACTAAACAACTGAGATTCACTTTCGGGAAACAATTGATACTAATGCGGCCCTTAATATTATTACGTAATATAGCATAAGGAAAGTATTTTAAAATAGAATTACTGCTGTAGGTAAATAATAAGGCCAACAAATGGTTTGAGCAACCACAGGGTGTCTCGACGTAGGAAATGTGGTATTTAAAGTTTCCAACAATGAAACATCCATCATAGGACTTCCTAATTAAGCTATGAGCTATTTTGAAGGCCATATATTATGTTAAATTAGCATTATTTAGTCTATGTTTAACCTAGATAAGTATGTGTTTATTGTTAACTTTTAAAAATACCAAAACTTGTTTGAGAAAAGTTTTATAGAACTAATTAACTTCATGAGAGATAAATACAACAGTATTGAACTTAACTGCCACCTCGACGTCCGTCTTAGCAATCTTTTTTTTAAAGTTAGTTATTGTTTTAAAACAATAGGTTCACTATTGTACTTTGATTTAAAACCTTAGGACATTATACTTACCACTTGACTAAGTTGTATATTTATGAATTAATACAGTTTGTTTTAATTTTTTAGATATATATAAATAAAAAGGTCTAATATCACTATTTGAAGTATTAGTCAAGGCTATTAATAAAACTAAAAAATTTGTCTGAAAAAGAGCTAAAGATTTGATTACAGGAGTGGATGTTATTAGGAAAGAAATTTCCATAGACACTGTACAGAAGTTGATGTTGTCAATTAGCGTTAATGTTCACTTTATTTATCGAAATAATGAAAAACATTAAAAAATATTTTTATAATCTTTAAGTTCCCTAGATTAAAATAAACATTGAAGTTTTTGCATTAGTTTAATTATTTTCTAGTTTTTTGGATATTTTATCGTTCCAAATTTAACGAGTGCATGCTATATTTAAATCTTCAATTTTTTTTAGAAATCGTTTGCCACTCTTTTTCTTTTTTTAACTTATTCTTAGGGTCGTTATCTTGACAAAGCAAAATGTTTTTATATTCGCGGTTTTTCAGTTGAAGTCAAAAAATTGTTATTAAAAATGTTTACATAAACCTCGGAGTTTATGATTCCATCTATGAACTTCGGCTTTCCTGTTTTTGAAAATTCCTTAATTTTTACTCCCTTATTTGTTAGTATTAATGGTAAAATAATTGAGTTTAAAAAATATCAATTAACATTATTAATAATTAATAAAATCATGTTTATAAAATATAATTCTGGATTATATTTATAAAAACATTTCATTTTATGAATTAAACCTTTGCAATCAGTTTATAAAAATTAATATAAATACTAATTAAAAAAATGTTTTGAGTTTTCAAATTTTTTTTACGCGTAGCGTCAAGACAACCATGAAACCAATATGCTAAAACTAAAATACTAAATTTCATAAATTTGTTTTTAGTTTTATTACTGAATCAGTAAGATGGCTTCGTGTAAAGGGGGATATCGTAACGGCAGAGAAAATACTTCGTCAAATTGCAAAATGTAACCAGAAACCATGGCCAAACGCAAAATTGAAACCAATAACTGATCAACAAAAAGAAGTAAAGGCATCTTATAAAGATATATTTTATCCATTTAACGTTTTCTTATCAACCTTTGTTCAAGCTGCAATTTGGTATATATTCTTACATATTAAAGAAAGAACCAAATAAAAACAGAACTTTTTTTTATTTATAATGGTGATGAAAATTTAGAAATATTTTGTAAACTGTTTTTATTTATTTTCTTTCTAGGTTTTCTAACGGAAGTGCATATTATGGCATTTCTTTGGCTTCAGAGCATCTTAGTGATAACATCTACAGAGATTTTTTTTTAATAAGCATTGTTGATATTCCGTCCAACATAATAATAATTTGGCTATGCAACAGGTACTCTTACAGAGTAAATGTTTATAAAAAAATTAAAAACGAAATAATTTAAAAATCAAATTATAAAATGTTACAAAATAAAATAATTATTTCCTGAAATTAACAAACAACTCAACAATATTTCTGCAACAATAAAATGACCTAACTTTAACTTTGCCCCTAGAAAAGGCAGCAATCCTGTAATTTACATGCACAGGTTAGAGGGTAGAGCGGGGCATATTGGGACACTAGTGCATAACGGGACTATTATGCCTAAAACCTTATATCTCAGCTAAAAAAAAATTCAAAATTTTTTTTGATAACAAACATAAATTTTTGTGTATTAAATGTAAAAAAAACAATTTTAGAAGTACTGAAATCCATTAAAAGAACCAAAATGCATCAGTAAGTGTGCGAAAAACAAACTTTGCGTATTTTCTTAAGAGATACAATGACAAAAGATTTATCTTGAACTATTGTAATTTGCTTTGTTTATAAAAAGTTAATTTTTTTAGACAGTATTTTTTATTCTCTTTTAGAATCTGGTTTTAAATAAATATTTGGAATTGAACTTTTTAAATAATTTTAATTTAAGACTTTTGTGGGGCATGTTGGGACAGCAAGTTATTTATATAATTGACTACATTACTACCATTTTGCTTACTGTTTGACGATTTTATTTTTAATCTAAAATATTATTTTCATTATTTAGAAAAGCAATATTAGTAATAAATTCAAAGAAATTGTCATTTTTATAACATCGATTATTAGTATTGCTTAATGTAAACAACAATGGTAAGAAATTATATAAGGAAGATCAATCATCAAAATTGGCATGGTTACACAGTTTTAGCTGTGAATAAAAAGCTGCTGATGCATATGGCATTTTCTTATTTGTTTTTTATTGGCATATTACTAATAAGCCAGTTCATTAAAAATGTTACCAAGTCTCAGGATACTTTTTGTGTGATTTATATGATTCATAATATTTTTTGTTAAGTTTTAGATTTAGTAGTAGTTACCAATTTATATACTAGTTTTACCCAACCAAAATTTTAAAACAAGTTTTTAAGTTTGTTTGTTTAATAGTTTTTTATAATAAAACAGAAAAGGGTTTTTTTTATTTCAGATGTTGTTTATTTGTAATGCATGGGTGTTAGGTCGTCTAATTTGTATAAGTATGTTACTTTTTTAAGATTTTTATGTCCGAACATATTTAAATGATAAAATGATAAATCTGTCCCGCTTTTAAATGCCCCTATATGCCCCGCTTTACCCTATATATATATATGTATATATATATATATATATATATATATATATATATATATATATATATATATATATATATATATATATATATATATATATATATATATATATATATATATATATATATATATATATATATATATATATATATATATAGCTCGAAAACAGAAAACAGTATGTCCAAATAATAAAATAAACAGTATATACAAAGTATATCTATATTAAACTACACTTTAAGACTTTAAGAGTATAAAATATTATTAATACTAAAATAAAATATTTAATAATGTTTAAATTTTTTAGTGTAAATACTTCTATAAAACTGTTTTAAGATTTTAAAATAGAATGAAGGCTTAAAATTAATGGAAGGTTTAAAATTAATTAGTAAACGTGATACGTTAAGCCTAATATGCAAAAAATAATAAGCAAGATACTAAAATTAGTTAACTTTAAGTATGACAGTTTCGCTGTATTTCAATTAAATAAATGTAGGAGATTTTAATTTAGATTTGGTAGAAAATGGACAACTGTTTTGTCAACAATTATAGGGGGTTTGTTTGTCGTGATGTTATCATTTATCCCATCGCATTCAGGTATTTTGTAATTTGGAATGTAAACTTATACTTATATTTAAATTATTTGTTACACTGATTATTATTTTAGAATAACAAAAATGAATAAATATTAATTTTACCACATATTATTTTCTTTAAAAATATGCTAAAGATAAAATTAGAATAAAGGGATACTTGTTTTAAATAACTTGGAAATTCAAACTGTTTTATTTTAACAGCGTAACCCAAAATGAATATTATTATGTGATAATGTTAAGAGTACTTTACAAAATTGTAGTAAATAAATCTATTCTTAAAGTTGAGGGTCAACAACGTTAGCGGAGGGGGAGGAAAAGAGAGGGCACGTGTCTCCTCTTTTTTTAAAAATAGACAATTGTGCACCTTTACTTCGAAACCCGTGTCGTCGGCCATAAAGTTGCTGATATTATACATTGGCGTTTACAACTTCAAATATTTTAAAATATATTTGCGAACATCAAACCAAAACAATATTAAAAATATTGACTAAAAAATTTGCGCATTTTATATTAACGACATCACGCGTAATTTTGATACCATTAAAAAATATTGGTTCAATAATTCCTAATCCTTTAACATTTGTTTTAAAAATGTTGAAAAATGTGTCCTTCTTTTTTCTTTTTTTTTTTTTTTTTTTTATTTATTTCGTCAGTAAAAAAAAAAAGAATACAATGTCGTGTAAAATAAATAAGATCAACATGACCGGGGTTAAAAGAAGACAATACTTGCCTTATCACTACACCCCGACGTGCTTTCATAAGCAAGCGTGTACAACCATTAAAAGTTAAATATACAATTACTTTGTGCCATTTAAAAAAATTATATACAATTATTTACAAGTATGTTAAGACTAGTTACTAATCTATAATCAAAAGAAAATAGTAAAAAGAAATTTAAAAAAAAAAAAAAAAAAAATCAAAACTATAGATAAGCTAATAGGATAGTTTATAGAGTTAATAAGATATTTGTTAAAAATAAAGAAAAAATAAAAATAAAAATTTTTTAAAAAGAATTTAATTCATTAACATCGTTAATAAGTTTTTGTTTCAATTTTTTTTTGAATAGGTAAAGAGAAGAACAATTTTTCAGCTCGTCACTTAATAAAGCGTTCCATAATTTAGGACCTCTTATAGCAATAGAAAATTTGGTAGCTAAATAATGCATTTTAGGTTGCTCATAATTGTACTTAGAAAATCTTGTAGGGTACATGTGATTAATTTTATTGAAAAGAGTACTAAATATTATAGGTGATATTTTATTATGAAGTTTGTACATAAAAATAAGAACTTGATAAAGGTTTAACTGAAAAACATAGAGTATGTGAAGATTATTAAATAGTTCTTTAGTATGTGTAAATCGACCTGCATTTGAAATAATTCTGACAGCATGTTTTTGTTTAATAAGCAGTTTTTTAATTTTACTTATATTAGAGCTGAACCAGGCAATGTTTGCATAGTTTATATAACAATGTATGAGGAAGAAATATAAAATTTTTAGGCAGTTTTGGTTTAAAAACTGCTTGGCTTTGAATAGTATACCAATATTTTTTGAAACTTTATTTTCTATTGTACTTATGTGTTCTCTCCATGTTAAGTTTTCATCAAGTATCACTCCTAAAAATTTTATTGATGACTCTCTAATTATTTTTTGAAACTTTATTTTCTATTGTACTTATGTGTTCTCTCCATGTTAAGTTTTCATCAAGTATCACTCCTAAAAATTTTATTGATGACTCTCTAATTATTTTTTGAAACTTTATTTTCTATTGTACTTATGTGTTCTCTCCATGTTAAGTTTTCATCAAGTATCACTCCTAAAAATTTTATTGATGACTCTCTAATTATTTTTTGAAACTTTATTTTCTATTGTACTTATGTGTTCTCTCCATGTTAAGTTTTCATCAAGTATCACTCCTAAAAATTTTATTGATGACTCTCTAATTATTTTTTGAAACTTTATTTTCTATTGTACTTATGTGTTCTCTCCATGTTAAGTTTTCATCAAGTATCACTCCTAAAAATTTTATTGATGACTCTCTAATTATTTTAGAGTTGCCAATAAAAAGATTAGGAAGTTTTAGTGGAATGTTTTCTTTATCGTGAACTCTATAAAAAAAAGTATACTTAGTTTTATTTAAATTTAAGGACAATTTGTTCGCCTTGAACCATTCCGCTAGATTTAAAAGTTCTTTGTTTACTATTTTAAATAAAAGTTTAATATCTCCATTAGAGTAAAATAAATTCGTGTCATCTGCAAATAAAACAGAGTTTAAAATGTTTGAAAACTTATGAAAATCGTTTACATAAATAAGAAATAAAAGAGGACCCAGAATTGAACCTTGGGAACACCGCAATTTATTGTCATATAGGAAGATTTTCCTTCTTCGTATAATATGTACTGTTTTCTATTGTTTAGATAACTTATGAACCAATCTAAATATGTGCTTTTAATACCATAACTTTCGAGTTTTTTTATAAGAATATTATGGTCTAATGTATCAAAAGCTTTGCTAAGATCTATAAAAACTCCAAGAGTAAACTTTTTCTTGTCAAATGCTTTAAATATATCATGAACAATATTAATAATGGCATGGTGAGTTGAATTACCTGGCTGAAATCCAAATTGTTTATTATATAAAATATTATTTGTATTTAAAAAATTCAAAGTCCGATTATACATAATTCGCTCTAAGATTTTTGAGAAGCAAGGGAGAATTGAAATTGGTCTGTAATTTTCACAATTAGAAATATCTCCTGATTTAAAAATAGGTATAACCCTTGCAATTTTATGTTTCTCAGGATAGACACCTTGTTTTAAAGAGAGATTAAAAATATGTAAGAGAGGGATTGTCAAGTATTTTATTGATTTTTTTATTACATTACTACTAATATTATCAACTCCTACACTTTTGTTTTGTTTTAAAAGATTTACTGCATCTATAAGTTCATTTTCAGTAATTTCATAAATATCCATTTTAGAGGTCTTATTAGGAGTAAGATATGTCTCAAAGTTTACTTCATTGGTTTCTATTTTTGACGCTAGAGTGGAACCTACACTTACAAAATATTGATTAAGTGTTTCGGCAATTAAAGATTTATTTGTAATAACTTTATTATCAATTGTTAGATTTATAGGAAGAATATTTCTGTCAGTTTGTTTCGTACCAATTACTTCCTTAATTATGTTCAAAGTATTGTGCCGATCATATTTATGTTTAATTAATTGCTCGGTATAGTACAACTTCTTGGACTTTTTAATAACCATCTCAAAAATACGTTTATAATTTTTGTAATTGGTTTCATTGTTGAAAGTTTTTTTTTTGAGAAATTTATTATATAGTCGTTGCTTTTTTTTTGACGACTTAATAATTCCCGGAGTTATCCATGGATTTGATAATGTCTTCTTTTTCACACATTTGTAATTAATTTCACACATTTGTAATTAATGGAAACGCTGTATTATAAAGTTGTTGTAATTTATCTAGAAACTTATTGTATGCCTTATTTGTGTGTACAATATCAAGGAGGTTATCCCAGTTTAAATCTGCTAGAAGACTATTAAAATTTTCAATGGATTTTTCATCTATTTGTCGTGTAGTTTTTTTAATTTTTTTTGCATAGATATTATCGCATTTTTGTGAGATAAGAAATATAGGGAAGTGGTCTGAAATGTCGCATTTAAATATACCCGTTTTTATTTTTGATTTAAATTCGTTGGTTACTATTTGGTCTATAACAGTTGCGCTTTCTCTAGTTATTCTTGTGGGTTTATTAATTAGTGGAATATAGCCTTTCTGATAAATGACGTTATAGAAATTATTTATTTTTGTATTTGAATGACGCATGTTCATGTCCAGGTTAAAATCACCTACAAAATAAACGCTTTTATTTTTGCTTAACTTATTTTTAATTATGTTTTTAATAAAATTTTCGAATTGTTTTATTGAACCGGAAGGTGGTCTGTATAAAACGTGGATGATAATGTTTTTTGTGGTTTTATTTATTATTTCCACGCACAGTGATTCACAATCATTAATGGTGGAACACAAATCTTTTCTTAGTTTGTATACTAAAGTATTGCTTATAAATACACACAAACCCCCTCCTTTCTTCCCAGATTCTCTAAATTGATGAATCACTTTAAAATTTGGCAGCTGAAAATTTGTATTTGACATAATATATTCATCAGTACACCAACTTTCGCTGAGACTAATAATTTTAAAATTGAATTTAATCTCGCATAAAAATTGTTTAAATGATTCAAAATTTTTTGAAATGCTCCTAATGTTTAAATGCAAAATTGAAAATGAATTTACATCTATTCCTTGCATTATGTTTGCAGATTTAGGGTTATAATATAAAGTATTAATATTTTGAAAAGCTTTATTATTACTATAAAAATTAATATCCGGGTCAAAAGTTTTATCTATAAGTATCCTATTTTTATTTTGTAATGAATTAAATTCTAAGTTAATTTAATCATTATTATCATTCATAAGAAGGGTGTTTTTTTTTTAAAAAAAAACTGTTAAAAAGAGTAAAAAATAGAAAAAAATAAAAATAAATAAATAAATAAAGTAATTAAGCGCTCGCTTGCTTTTTCCTAAATTCTCTAACTATAAGTTTATCATATTTTATAATAGAATATTTACCATTTTTTCTATGCATCTTCATTTCTTCTGAGAGTTTTTTTCTTATGATTGTTGTTTCAAAAGAGAAGTCTTCGTTAATGTATATTCCTGTTCCTTTAAGCCGATTTGATGAATTTAAAACTTTTATTTTGTCTTTGTAATGTAGTATTTTAACTACAATTGTTCGAGTTTTACTTTCTATTTTTTTTCCAATTCTATGAGCCCTCTCGATATCAATGTTTTTAATGTTTAACACGTTTTCAAATAGAGTTTGTAACTTTTTTTCGGTTTCATCCCAGGTTTCTTGATCGTTTTCAGGAAGTCCGTCGATGCGAAGATTATTTCTTCTGAGTCTATCTTCTAGCTGTCG